TTTCCTTCCCCTTTTTCCCTTTCTCCCTTCTCCCTTTCTCCCTTTCCCCTTCCCCTTTTTTCTCTTCCTCTTTCTTCTTTCTCTCTTCTTCTTCTCTCTCTCCTCCCCTTTCCTCTCCTCTCTCTACTTTTTTCTTCCTCTCCCTCTTTCGCTCTCCCACTCCCCTCTCTCTTTCTTTCTTCTTCCTCTCTCTCTCCCCTTTTCCCTCCCAATCACCATTCTCACCCCTCTCTTCCTGTTTCTTTTGTTCTTGTTTTACCTTTCCCCTCCTCTCTCTTTCCCTCTTCCCATTTTCCAGAAATCTAACAGCATACACGTAAAAATAAATAAAATACAAAAATAAATTAAAAAATCCCCACACCCACTCCCGTCTTCCCTTCTTTCCTTCTTTCCTTTCGTCCTGCCTTCTTTCCTTATTCATTCATTCGTTTATTATTTCTTTCCTATCTTCCTCCCTTCATTCATTCACCCTTTCCTTCCTTCCATCCTATCCATCCTCCTTCCTCCTTATTTACTCCCTCCCCTTTCTTCCACCCACCTTCTTTCCATCTTTTCTTCCATCCAACTTCCATCTATCCATCTATCCATTTTCCTTCTATCCTTCTATCCTTTCCTCACTCCTCCCCTCTCTTCCACCCACTTCTTTCCATCCTACCTACCCACCCCATCCCACCCATCCCCTCCCATCCCACCCTCTTCCCCACCCACCCCATCCCACCCAACCCATCACCCATCCAATCTTCCACCTATCCCTCCCCATCGTCACCTCCATCCCATCCCCACTTCCATCCCACCCTCCCCTCCCTCCCCACCCCCACCCATCCCCATCCCATCCCACCCCCTCCCTCCCACCCCCTCCCCCACCCATCCCACTCACACCCCTTCCCCACCCCTCCATCCCCCACCCCATTCCATCCCACCCACCCCACCCCACCCACCTTTCGTCGCGGATGTCGTCGGCGGCGGTGGAGCAGGGCTTCTCCATGGCCACCAGGCACAGGATCTGCAGCAGGTGGTTCTGCATGACGTCCCGGATGATCCCGAACTCGTCGAAGTAGCCGCGCCCCTGGGTTCGAAGGGCTCCTTGACGAGATGAAGACCGAGGCGATGTTGTCCCGGTTCCACGTCGGCCGAAGATGCGGTTGCCGAATCTGCGAGGGGAAAAGGGAGGGAGACAAGGGAGGGAGGGAGGGAGGGAGGAGAGAGAAGGGGAGCGGGGTGGGAGAAGGGGGAGGGAGAGGGGAGGAGGGGGAGGGAAGGGGAGGAGGGAGAATGGGGGAGGGGAGAGAGGGGAGAGGGGGAGGAGGGAGAGGGGGAGGCCCGGGAGGAAGGGAGGGAAGAGAGAGGGAGAGGAGGGAGGGAGGATAGAGGGGGAGGACAGGGAAGGAGGGAGGGAGGGAGGGGGAAAGTAAAGGGAGGGAGGGAAGGGAGAGATGGAGGTGGAGAGGGAGAGGAAGGGAGAGAAGAGAGAGGGAGGAGGAAGGGAGAAAGAGAGAGAGAGAGAGGCGGAGGAGGGAGGAGGAGAGAGGGAGGGAGGGGGAGATTTGATATGATAAGATTTATTTACAGAACAAAGTACATGCCCTGCAATAAGCCAGGCAAGGATGCTAAATCCCAAAGCTGTGCTTAAATTTACGTAAAGGGCTGTTAGTCAAACATTAGTTCTACATGCCTGAAGGGCTGTGTCATTATGCACATTATTCACATATCTAGTTGGTGAAAAAACTCTTATATCCCTAATCATATCGAAGACAAGACCAATATAATCAATAATTATAATCAATAAAATTAATATAATTCATAAGTGCTTGGTCTACTGGACGTGTTATTTTGATCGACAGGATGCAGTTTTCGAGCAACAAAGTAAGCAATGTGTTAGATTAGGCTTATGTGACTTGGGCGCCTTGCACATTTTGCATTGGTGATACGTAACTAGCTTTGCCTCCAAAACTGTATCCTGTACATAATGTATAGTGTATTGATACCCTATGCGTAGCCTGGTTAGCGTGACCTGCTGCCTCCGAGACAGTCCATCGTAAAACTTATATGGTTTGTCAGCATCGCATGTCCCGACAATACTTTCACAATGCCAGATGGTACCAAGTCCACTTTTCTTCAGTTTTTCGGTGGTCCAAACCTGGCCCTCAAAATCTCGATGTTTTTTTATGTTGACTGACAGATAGCGGTATTGAATAAGGGTTCTTCGTTTTTGCTAACTTATCTACCTTGTCACAGGTTGATATTCCTATATGAGAAGGTATCCCAGTACAGTGACACTTGTATACCCTGCTCTGAGAGGCTAGCAATTTGCTGAAGGGTATTGGACTAAACGCTGTAGGTCTATACCCGCCCACACGCCCTCCGAAAGCCCCGCCCCCTTCCTCAGTCGTCCAGCTGGCGTCAAAACATCGATATCGCTAATCATTCCGCTGACAAGTGAATTAATGACACTGGCCTTCCGTCCGCCGTTCCCCTGGCGACGACCCCGTTGGCGCCAGGGGAACGAGGGGAACGAGGGGAACGAGGGGAACGGAAGGGAGGTAGGAAGAAAACATGTTCACATTCACACACACACCACACTCACACTCACAACGCAACAACGCACACTCACACGCACACACGCACACAGCACACGCACACGCACAACACCACACACACACACACACACACCACAAAGGGGGGGAGGGAAGGGCCTCCCCAACACATAATCATTTTCGTCAAGTATTCTCCACACATCACACGCCTCCCCCTTATACCCACGTACCTCCTACATATATACCTGACATTTCTCCAATACTCCTAAGAGCCCTAAGCCTATTACATCTAATAGGATTGACACCAGAAGCCCTAATCTCAAGCGCCCAATCCGTCAGCTTGCAACGGGAGATGCAAGATTAGATAACAGCGAGAGACGGATATGTGTAAAGGTACCTTGGATATCAATTTTATAGCACTGGGTACACTTGCTAATCATATCGTGGGTGTTTAGTGATTATCAAAATATACAGAGGGTGTGGCAGGAAGGGGGGAGGGGGAGAGGGGAGAGGGGGAGAGGGAGAGGGAGAGGGAGAGAGGGAGAGAGGGAGAGGGGGAGAGAGAGAGAGAGAGAGGGAGAGAGGGGGAGAGGAGAGGGAGAGAGAGAGAAAGAGAGAGAAGAGGAGACAGAGAGAGAGAGAAGAGAAGACAGAGAGAACAGAGAGACAGAGAGACAGAGAGACAGAGAGACAGAGACAGAGACAGAGACAGACAGACAGACAAACAGACAGTGACCGAGAGACAGAGAGAGGAAAGTGTGTGTCTATGTACGTGCGTGTGCGTATGTTGAGGTGGGCGGGCAAGGCTTGCGTATGCGCGTGTGGATATAAAGAGACTGAGACCTAATCTTCCTCTCCCTCCCTCCCCCTACCACGCTTCCACCCCCCACACCCCAACCCTACTTCCGAATCCAATACAAGGAAAACCCCAACCCCACGCCCCCCGCCCACGCCCACCCCACCCACGCCACGAAGGGAACGCCCACGCCCAGGCCACCCACCGCCCACCCATGCCCATGCCCACGCCCACTCGAAGGGAACCCCACGCCCATTCCCCACGCCCACACGAAGGGAACCCCCACGCCCACCCCCACGCCCATGCCCATGCCACCTCCACGCCCACGCCACCCCTCGCCCACCCGCCGCCACGCCCACCCCCACGCCCACGCCCCTCGGCCCACATACGAAGGGAACCCCACGCCTCCCTCGTTGCCAGAGAAACCCGCCACCACGCCGCCCGCGACCTTGCGGAGCGAGAGAGCGACCTTATAACGCAATTGGGGAAAATGTCCTCCGGATCAAGCGGCGGCTGACGAATCCCACCCGCCGCCGCGTCTCGCCCGTTCTCGCGGCAGTCTCGTTTTGTATTTCTTGTTTTTTTTGTTTTTTTTTTGTTTTTCCTTGTTTTTTTTTTTTTGTCTTGTTTTTTGTTTTTTCTTTATTTTTTTTTTCTTTTCTTTCTTTTCTTTGTTTTTTTTCTTTTTTTTCTTTTGATTTTTTTTTTCTTTTCTTTTCTTTGTTTTTTTTCTTTTCTTTTTTTCTTTTTTTCTTTTATTTGTTATTTCTTTTCTTTTCTTTTGATATTTTTTTTCTTTTTTTTGCTTTTTTTTCTTTTATTTTATTTTGCTCTTTATTTTTTCCTTTATTTTTTTTTTTTTCTTTTCTGTTTTCTTTTTCTTCTTTTCTTTTTTTTTTTCTTTTTTTCTCGCACGGGTACATGGGAACAGTACAGAGCCTAACATTCTATATTTATCAACGTAAAAAAAAAAAAAAAAAAAAAATACAAGTTTTCCTCTTAATCATCATGACACGAATGTAAACAAACCCGACCCGGGTCTCGTGACGTCATCGGGCGACATGACGTCACGAGCACTTCCTTCGGCCACGCCCCATCGGACACGCCCCTCCGCTCCCGCCGGCGCCGGATTCGAGTCACGTGACACCGCGTGGCCCTCTGACATTCGGTGCCATCTCGTGAACGGACGGGTGTGTCGGGAAAAGACACTAGAGGCACTGATTATTGTGTGTGTGTGTGTGTGTGTGTGTGTGTGTTGAGAAGAGAGAGTGTTGTGAGTGTGTCTGTGTGTGTGTGAGAGAGAGAAGAGTGGTGAGTGTGTTCTGTGTGTGTGTGAGAGAGTGTGTGTGAGAGGTGTGTGTGTGTGTGTGTGTGTGTGTGTGTGTGTTGTGTTGTGTGTGTGTGTGTGTGTGTGTGTGTGGTGTGATTGTGTGTGTGTGTGAGTGTGTGTGTTGTGTGGTGTGTGTAGTGTGGGTGTGATGTGGGTGTGTGTTGTGTGTGTAGGTGTGTGTGGGTGTGTGTGTGTAGTGTGTGTGTGTGGGTGGTGTGTGTGTGTGTGTGTAGGTGTGTGTGTGTGTTGTGTGTGTGTTGTGTGTGTGTGTGTGTGGTGTGTGGTGTGTGTGTGTGTGTGTGTTGTGCCCGTGTGCGTGTGCGTTGCCGGTGTGTGTGTG